ACTGAATAAATAACAAGGTTGAATTCTCGCTTGAATTACGCCACAATTATGTCCAAGAGACCGTCCAGTAAGTTCAGTAAAGTTCCTAGATTCAATCCCAAATAAACTCTCCGAAGCTCACGCGGGTTTATCAGTGAAATCCCCAAAAGAGTTCACATTATTCCGCCAATGCAGAGGACGAATAAGAAGCATTGCTCCTTGAGGTAGGAATGTCCCTCGAGAAGAGACACTGAGATTGTGCAACTTATACTTTTTATCTTATGGCTTGAACAATTGTTTCGATTTGTAAATACTTTAATTGTGGTCACAATGAAGCTGATACTTCTTTTGCCAACGACATCTGAAGATCAACTCCTGGATGGGCATGTATCGTGCTTATATTGATCAAAAATATAAATTTATAAATTGGTTATTGGAGTTCTCTTTTCGAATGTTGGCTTTATGTGATGGATCGATGGTTGAGAACAAATTGCTTTTGGACTGGGCCAAAAGTTTGATGGCTCGTCCTCCTCACAAGCTTTCCCTCCAGCTTATGGTTGAAGCAAGTCTGTCAAACTGTTTCCAGAAACTTATACTACCGCTGTAATATTATCTCATCCGCCGCCACCTTATGATCAGGCTTTTGTGCCAGAGGCTTTTGTTGAGAACCTTAATCGTCCGACTAAGTTCAGGTGCCCAAGCAGCAGTTTGGCCCATTTGCAGACAAGACTTCACAAGTAACAGTACCGTGATGCTCCACCTGCTACCGTGTGATGACATAACCTGTCGCAAACAGCAAGGGGATTACTTGGAACTTTCTATCGCCAACGCTTCCTATATTTCTTCACCAGTGTCTTTCAAATGCATTCCTTCCTGGCTTGTTGATCACCGGTGTAGATTCCCGCTATAGGCGCGTCACTCAGCCATATGTGGCGTTCGCCCAATAGACACCGGTACTTGTATCTACCACTCCGCATCTGATTTTCAGGTGCCGTCTTCCTTTACCAATCAGTTTCAGGCCGATAAGCTGTTCATACCCGTACTTGAGATACTCTATCGAGTGACGTTTTATGCAGAACCGAAAAATCGAAGTATGGCTATTGGGCGTATGAGATCTTCTCTATCTAGAAGCTACCAAATACGAACTTCCGGTGATCCAGCAGTGAACTCCATCAGCGTTGATAAAGTCCTAAGTTTGGGATCTGAGTCTATAACACTTACCCGGATACCCGTAGACATCTGTCCAACAGTCTACCTACACAGCAACTCGCAGTGGTCGAGTTACTGATATGTATGACTGACTGGCGTCTGCCGATTGGTCTGTCACGTCCAACTACGCCGATGGACACCATCGCGTGATGGGTAATGCTACAATGCTCCATCTGAGCGCCCTGTACACGGTGTGAACCCGATGGAATATGACCTAAGGATGAGAAGGAAAAGGCAGCTCCAAAGTTTAATGATAATGCAGTACAATGCTCCATCTGAGCGCCCTGTACACGGTGTGAACCCGATGGAATATGACCTAAGGATGAGAAGGAAAAGGCAGCTCCAAAGTGTAATGATAATGCAGACTGCCTGGTTGTTTCTCACTGTAGTGGATTGAGACGCAGTGAGAACCATTGTGTCACCTGATGTCAACCAACTGCTGAGCACCTATGCAACAGAAGCACATCGTCAGCAGTTGGTGATGGTGATGTTCATTCCTCGACTGTATGTCGTTCTGGAATAACACGATCTAGACTCTGCTCCCATACGGCTTACATTTACATAAAGTTCTCTGCTAAACTCAAGGAGTTTGCTCAATACTTCACAGTAGAAGAGCTTTATTGTCCACAAGTTAGAGGACATGCATGTGTGGCTTCTACGGAGGACGTTGGTCGTTGCTGGAATGAAGTTATCACAGATATGCACGATGTGGAAATTTTTTTCCGTGGGAGAACCAATCAATTCCACTTTACTCATTTTGGCAGGCTGTATCTGTTCGGTGTTAAAGTATCATCCGACTAGACAATCGGTAAGCGGTCACTCCAAGTGCAGGTTTTACGTTGATAGAGAGAGAGAGAGAGAGTTGGAGGAATAGGAGAGTTTCTATAAATTGATCGGAAATAACTTTGAAAATCTAATATAAAATGAAAAATCAGCTGTTAAGTTACAGAGCGGGATATTTCCAACAGTTTACCCGACTGTTTTCTTCTACACAAATGACTTATTGGACCCACTAAACATGGGCAGTAGTCGCTCAGTTTGGATCCCCTTCAGTACTATACCTTCAGTACTATACCTTTCTGCCGTTAGCAGGCTGTTGGACAAACATTATTCAAGAGCGATGCAATGTGCTTGATTACATTTTTTTGAACTTATTTAGAATTAAGGACGAGTTCCAGGGACCAACATATCTTGCTGCCCTAAATTGAATGAGGCACAGGGTGGTAAATTACATGACTAGATCTGTTGATTGGCCATTTGTTTGCTGCAGAAACGACAAAGAATGATTTCCGCAAATATGAGTGAGCAGAGGCTTCAGGCTTTGACCGGATTCAGCGGTTCAATTGGGCCGTGGAAATAACCACACACAACTGTTGCTCGACTGCCATTTTCTTTTTTGAGAACGAAAACCCTTGGCATGCTCATATGTCGTGCCCCATACTGTTAGAATGTTACCGGTCTGTATTCTGACGATTTTACTAATTGTCCGTTCACAACTTTGTTGCGTTTTCTTAATTCCAAGGCTGTCGTGTTCCTGTCCAGCTTGACTTTTTCCGATATTGTTATTCAGTAAAATTTTGGCACCCATGTAGATATCCTTTCGCATTTGGGGCGACAGACATGTCAACAACCGCGTAGTTATGGAAGTTGGGTTTCTGTATTTGGCCCGCCGCCTCACTAGCAGTGCGATAAATTTACTGGAAAAGCAGAAAACTCTCTCACGTTAGACATTTCATTACAAGAATTTCCATCACAGTGGGACTGCTCTTGTCTCGTTTCTTGCTGTGCTACTCACTTCTTTATATGTAGTTATGTATAATAAAATTTACAGGGTTAAAATGGCTTTTTTTCGTTCAGTTAAGTAAATTACTCCTACTCACTTACTCCTCTGGAGAACCCGTGTAACTATATTCGACGTGTATCTCCACTTCGGATTTTATCACTACTGACAGTTCTTGAACCGCACAAAGAAACGTCGGCACAGGGGAGACAAAATACGACCGAGAAAAGTTAGGTTGATAGATTAATAGATCTAACCCTTTCTGGGACTACTTCCTTCTGGTTTCCATATCCTCCCCTATAAGATTGATACCAACGAGTTTGTCGGAGGCAATAACTGTTTTTTAACTCGATATGGCAAATTTTAGTTTCCGAAATTTATACAGGGTTGATAAATGAAGATAGAAGCAGCGGAGCATTCACTACGAGTGGATCCACAGAAGTCACCCTAAAATAACGTTCCGGGGTCAGGAATTTATCTGAACGAGCGAGCATACTGCTGAACACTCTACCTGACAGTTCAACGCAACATTCGAATATAATCAATAGTAGTTATCGACCACCGTGTACATCTCAAACGCCAACTCTGGGACGCGTAGAACTTGGTCCCTTAATCATATCTAGCAGTTTTGATTCACAGTATCGCTTAGTGTGGTCCAATGAACTATTAGGAGACCAGTCAGCAAGTGACCTTTCATTGACGCAAACACCGTCCTGAAAAATGAAGTTATCTTCTGATCCTCGTGCTCGGGCAGCTCATGGAAGACAGAACAACAATAATAAATCTATGACCGAAGGTAACGCTCAGTATAAGATGATATCAATGGGTGACGGGCCAGTGCAACCGAATTCAACTTTTGGTGGTCGCTCATTTGATTCAGTCAGCTGCTGGGGTGATGTGCCAAAACATTCTACTCGATTGATTGAGATTCTGAACGAAATGGACACATCACCCGGGCGAATTCCCAGCCACAGGTCGGGACCAATAGCATCCAGAACAGTCGAACGTCACAACGAAACGGATTTCCCGAATGTCACCACAAAATTTTCTGGAAAGTCAAAACAACCGGTTGCTTCTTCCGCAGAAGTTACTGTGACAACCACAGAAAAATCCATTTCCGGTGCAAACAGCAAGACTTCCGGAACGACCGGAAGAGAAAAATTACTAGAGTGGCTGCGAACAAGTCAAGCTAAACGGGACGAGAATAACCGACTGGTATTTTCAAGGTGGATTGATCGTCTCGGTAGCATGAACACTAAGGAGCCTGCTTCACCAACCGTTTCTCATAACGCCGGGGGTTTGAATAGCGCAGATTTTCAGCAAACCGGAGTTCCCTTGTTATCACCTCCGACTATACTTCCCGGTCTGTTTGCTACACCCACTCTAGTTATGAGTAACCCGATAGGACTGATGACCTCAAACTATGCGTTTTCCAGGCTAGGGAACTCATTTCCACACACGGCACAAAGTACCTATGGTTCAAGCAGCCTAATTGTGCCACCAAATTTCAGCTCCAATGTGTCGTTTACCACAAATGTGTCACCCAACCTGTTGTGTACTCAACAATCAAATGAACTTGCACAGCCAGCTATGTGCGTACTTTCCACCACAGAATCGACAGATCCCGCCAGATGTGACAGTCTACCCAGATCACATAACACAGAAACGCCTAGTCACGATTCGAAACTATCTTCATACAATTCAGAGTCTTCCACCAGCAATGTTTATCAGCTTGCGGAAAATATCTCCGTATCTCCCAATGCTAGCCTTACAGTAAGTGGAGAATCCGAAACAGAGAATAGAGAACAAACGAATGTGCCATTCACTCACGTTTATCCCTCAGTTCAGGAGGTACCCCTCACATCTAACGGAGTTCAGCACAACCCATACTATCTGTCAATGCCCCTTCTTGGCGATTCCCTGATTCCGCAAATGTACTACTACCAGTACTGTTACCAAAACCAAAATGCATTGCCCAAACAGGCTTGCTACAGTGGGTCTCCAGTAGTCTACTTTGTCCCACAGTCGCAACTGTCATCGTCTGGCCAGCCAGTCTATTTTCCAACAACGTACATCTGCACATCTGGCTATCGAAATTCGCTGGAACCCATGACACCTTTTGATCTGGCTGATAAACAAACGAACGATCCTCAAGATGATAAACTTACGAAAACTTGGGGCCATATCTCTTCAGTCCAGTCAGGGGACTTCAACACCACCGTCACCGATTCATTCCAGAAAGAACCGAATTCCGTACCCAGTCAACTGGAATCAGCCGAGTCATCCGCACAGACGGCTGCTGATTACAACATCCCGTCGACGCTTGATTTCGACATGAATCAATGGTACAGCGTGTTAGGTAGCATTAACTCGGATGTGACCATGGAGGCTCCGTCACTGGTCGATGCCAAAGAGCAACCTGATTCTTGTTCCCCATAGTGACCACTCGAACTCGCCAGTTGTACAGAAGTCAGGACCCTTAAATGTAACTGGACAGAGCGTCAAGGGGAATGCTGTTTCCATCTACAGCATCATAACCGTATCTCGAAAGCCGATCAATCATTCACCCACATGATCCGCCTTCAGTAACCCACCATCCTTGGTAAGAATTGGCAGTAACCATAAAAAAGCAGTTAGCTATATCCTCTGCCCATAGTCCTTGAGGTGGTGTCTACGGTAAAGCCATACAAGTAGTTTTGCTTGATCTATGATGAATAATCACCGACAACAATGTCATCCATAAAGGAATGATCCTTCAACATTCAAAGGAATGATCCTTTCAGACACACTAGTGTATGAAAACCCAAAATAAAGCGAATAAAAATATTGAACTGAAATTGGTGGGTTCTTTGCATCCAGTCTCATTTTCGAGACCTTCGTTCTTTTATTTTCACAGTTTGCCCAGGTTGGCCGGTAGATTTGTCAGCGTTTTTGAAACTATTTAACTGAAAGTTGCCAGCGGTAAGTTTATTGTCACCGAAATCGTCAGATGGCTCTTAATCGCCGGTTAGGTTTCAGTCAGTTTCCTGTAGAAAGCAAAGGTGTGAGCGTATAGTTGTTCTATATTTTGGTATACTAGCGCGATAGCACTGTACAGTAGGTATGTTTTAGCAGCACTTAAGCGCGTGTTCTCACAATGATGTTGAGTGCATTGGCAGTGCTTGAGATGCTGACGATGATGACGACTGTGCTGGTGCCGATAATCACCAAGACGCTGACGACCATGACGATAATGATGATGACATAGGGATACAAGAGTATTGTGATGCAAAGATACTGCTGGTTGTTTCTCCTGCGTCTGTCGACTTTCACAAATGCGCCATTAATCACACCGACTCACAGAGTGCTCTGGATGTTCAAGCAGAGTCCCTTGTTTTTGTAGACTTTCTGTTGAAATCCTTCTGCGTTATCTTTCCTTCACCCTTATATAATCTCCAGGGAAAATACCCTATACCAGCTGGTAAAGGGTACACATCGGGCTTACGTACTCACTGATGGTTGTCGACATCGTCCAGCTGTAACACCCTTTCGGTGCCTAGCTGCCATGCCATCCGAAGGAAACAGGAGGGCCAAGATAATGCCAGGTTGTCCAAGCCTAGACAGGGAAATCGAGAGGCGAAGGTTGGATTCGAGCCATGAAACTTTCGGCCAGTGAATTCGCAGTCTAACCACTCAGCCATCTTGCCCGGTGGTATTCGTTGGTGTTAGGGATTCGTAAATACATATTGACAGCTGGCTGTCCTGTTTCGTCACCTGATTTGTACTTGTTACAGGGAGAAATAAAAGATAGACTTGTCGAGTGTTCTGCACAGTTCAAAGCGGTATCTTCAATATTCCCAGGGCCATTTCAATTGGAGTGTATCCAGGCGGTCCTGGAATGATAGTCAGATGCGACCGCCTGCAGCACGTGCAAACTTTATGCGAATTCAGGGTGAGCAGGAATTCTACACTGGAAAATTTAGCCGGATTGTCAAGTGACACAAGTTTTTGAGCTTCTTATACATGGAACGAAACTTGATATTATTTTGCTCCAATTGAACTCCAGTAAACGGGGATGGCTCGACTTCCCCCACTTTACGGTTTGATTAAGTCTTATGAAAGATGACCAGTTTCTGTAGGAGAGCTTAACGCTTCATTATAGGCACAGATACTGCATCGTGACTATAGGCTAGACAATATACTTTGTAGGACCCAACTACTAACCGTAAATAGCACTTTTCTATTTCTAAGCGTTTTATGAGTTGACTTTGATTTTCTCAGGTAAAAAATGACAAAAATTCCACAAGACTGTTGCAAATGCTCCGCTTCATTTGTCCATCCACGTTCCCGTTACACAAAATCAGCCGTACGGTGACAGTTATAATGCTGTTTTCTGTGATCGACATAGAATTTCTGTCATCTCGACCTTACCTTCTGGCCAGTTTGCTGAAGTTCTCTCCACTAGTTCTCCCTTCTCATAAACCGATTGTGTAGGGAGATACAGGTTTTAGTTTTGAGTAGGTGCAATCCCAAACGAACGTTCCCATCATTTTAGCAGATAATTGCACCGCAGGACCTTCTACCAACTGCACTTCGAAAAGAATTTGTATTCATTCGTTATCCAACCGCATAAGGTAAATGATCCACACGAAGCCTCTTATCGCATACAGATGGATGGAGTGACCTCTGGGTAGAATATGGATTCACGTTTTGGGACTAACTTCTAGCCTATGTCACCAGGTGTTCTCCAGTTGTGGAGCCTATTTCTTCACACCATCGATTTCCATGATTAGTTCATCCTTACCTTGATTGTTCTGTAGAAAACTAACACCGGGGTATATTGACCCAAGTCCCGTTTTGGAACTGGTGTCTACAGAAATTTGCTATTGTCCGTTTTTGTCAAATAGGTGGAGAAGATTTTGGCAGTGCACCATCTGGTCTGGTTTATTGTATGCATGAGACTCACAGAAGTGTGAACTTAAAGAACGATGTGGTCTGTGTATTTTGAGTAAAAATCAAAAGATGCGTCGTAACTTGGAAATTTTCCAAAAATCCACTTGGACGTGTCAAACAGAAGTGAGGACAAGGTGAGTCAACGTCGTAATTCTTCGTGAACGACCAAGTCGCAAGATTCCTCACCACCTACATAAACTTAAGTATTACATTATCACTAATACGATTGCATCAGTTCTAGACAAACTTCTATCCCAAAGCGTCTTGTTTAACTTGTGCACGTACTTGGGTTGTTATCTTCCATATATGGGCTGTACATCTGATGTCGTATGCAGACGTGGGGAGTACACGGAGCATCTAAAGAGGCGACTGAGTCGTTGGCTGAGGTATTCTATCATTTAGAGACTTTGAATTTCAGGCATGTGTAAGAAAGAGTAGCTCCGAAGTTCAGATTGTGTCTGAAAGTTTAAAATCGGGTCTTCTGAGGCTGCCATCTCTGGCAAATGCCTTAGGTTTTTCTGTTGATTTGGACTGGAATATCCTCCATCACTTCTTATGAAAGCGGTATTTATCATCTAAGGTGGCGATATTTCTATAATTTTGTCAATCAGGTCTCTTTTACGAGTGGGGAGACGTGAATCCTTTTCTCAGATGTACAAGTTTTTGACGAACACAGTTAATAGCACGTTAGATTGAAGTTGCTTGTTCAGTGAACTGTTCCAAGTCCAGCAAAACTTTTGGGCTATTCTAGGCGGCTGGTGGCTTTGGCGTTCAGTTGTGTGCTCCATCACTGTCTTTTCAGTGTTTTGACGGTAAGGGCGAGCTTCTGACGAATTTTATGGTGCAGTATGAGCCAGATCGGTTTGTGACGGCTTCAGCCGCTGTGATTGTCAGTAGGCTCCCACTGCGGTCCAAATAGAATGTGCTTAATTTAGTTCGCTGAAGTAACCGCCTCTCACCTGAATTGTGTGTGTGGATACACAGCTCGTAAAGTTCGAATATGGTGTCTATGGAGTCTGTGTACAGCGTTGCAACGGTGTACGTCGGGGTATAATTCTGCAAAATAAAGATACCCATGAGATAAGGACATTGATGTTGCCTTGGTTCAAGGCTCAGTGTTTACCGCTGTTATGTCAAGTTAAAAGTATGGATTCTCAGAAGAGCGATGAATTTGACGGTAAACTCGTCAAGGCAGCAGATGATTTAGAATTATATTCTATATATTTCGTCGGAATTTCTCGAAGAATCAAAGCCTCAGAACTTGCATCAGTATTGGATGAGAAGGGACAGGCCTCGCATCGTTTATTCCGATCACGGTGCATACTCCTCAAGGTTACAACTTGTTGTGGACCACAGTCCCTTAATGCCTTCTTATTACTGTGAACCCCGGTGTGGTTAGCCGCTTGATCCTCCGGTGCGCTTGGCCAAACCCGAAAAAGTCAATGAACGTGCGAGCCTGCTGATCTATTGATCACTGTCGCGTACAAACGGCCATAAGTGATACCAAGAATACAACTCATCTGTCAAGGAGAAGTGAAGAACAACCAATGAAATCTGTATAAACGAAAAACGGTTATTCGATTGGCTGTCATTTAGTCCCGTTACATTTGGAGCTGGTTCTCCTAGTACAACTCCGCATACCATAACCATCGTTTCTATAGAAAGACTTCAAAAGTGCACCTTGAGGAAGCCAGAGGCTGCGTCGGTCTCCATTTCCGTTGAACAATCGACGCTGACTCACATGTACGACATACGTATCAAGCGAAAAACCAAACAACCCACTGCTATTTCACGATACAAAACTCTGTTTGATAGAGAATCCTGACGAGCGGCGAAAGCCTTTCAAAATTCCTTGACTCCGTTAGGCAGCATGCCTTCGTGCTTTGCTAGTGACCTTCCTAGGCCTTTTGACGCTTGTCCTGGGTTTCAATAATTAAAATGGTACAGAGGCATTGAAATCTCCTTGATATGAGTTAGTTTTCCTGTTAGAATACATTCTGTGACTAACTAAGAGATCTCAGTTGTAAAGGCACTATCTAATACTGATGAATGTGAATCATAGGCTTGGGCGCGAAAATCATCCCGTATATTAGACCTGATAAGCGTGTATGGATGGGCGACTGCGTTTTTATCACATTGTACTGTACTTTTGTAGAATGCCGCACCACACATAGATAGCTGACACCAGTTGGGTTGCTGAAAATCGCTAATCAAGCTAGCTCTTCCCTGATTGGTCCAGTTCAGGACAGGTTACTCCAAAAGTATTCAGTTCGTGCGATGACCGCTGTTTCTCGGTGGACCAATCAGCGTCACGGTTTTCATTCAGCTGTTGACTGGTCGACTGAATCGGGTTAAAAATTGTGTAAGAAAAACTAAACGAAGAAGGCGTCTGGTCAAGTTCTCCTAGAAGCTATGCTCATCGCTTCCTTTTTCATATGGCTCTCGTTTGTTACAGGTAAGTCTACCTCTGTCTGACCATTTTGTTACTTGAGTTATGGTAACGTTGTCATGGAACAATTTGGAGCGCTTTTGTTTGCAGTTGTGGCTTGTAAACTATACAGGTGGGGTTCGTTTTCGCTATCAGTTCAGTGTTTTCTGATCCTTTGGTCACACAGTCGCACAGCCTAGTGAGTTAGAAACTGAAATAACCTCTATACTTCCAATTTCACAATAAAGCTTACCTACCCTATGTAAGGACAACTGGTTTAGACAACAACTGGTTTTAGACAAACAGTTACCGTATATAAAACAGTTTGTGGTACAGTCTTAGAACAGACCCATTTATCAACATGGCCTCGTTATTTGGAAATGAACTAAAGAGTTGAATGATCATGTCTTGAAGTAACTGATGAAAAAGCCAAGGAATGTGTCAAAGGGGGGCGCCAAAGCTGCAAAACAAAGTTGGAGAATCGTCGCATAGGGAGAGTTTTGATTGGCGATTTTGGATGGTTCCTCTTCAAACCGTCCAGGAACGTTTTTCAGTTTTACAAATATGTCTGGGCAAAATTGTGGACTGGTAATTTTCCATTGTCGTTTCACAGCAATCAAATTCTAGATTTTGCGGTCACAGATAAGTGCAAATTTGTGCACTTGGTGTGGTCTTATGTCTCATAGTAGTTTACTTCGGCATATTAAGCGAATGTAAGTTTGACTTCCCTATCTGATCAGGTTAGAGATAAAGACTGTCGCCTAATATTGCAATAGCACCCTACCGCCGCGTCCTCTTATGAAAACTGGAGACAGCATTTAAGTCGTTTTGTCTGTAAAATTTGTGAACGCAAGTTTAAGCTTCGGTTGACGGCCGTTAGTGAGCTTACTTGACCTTGCCTGTGCCTTCTACTTTTGCCATAGGAGAACAGTATTAACGTACATTCAAGTCTCAGTTTTATAGTATTGGTGAGATAAGACTGGCCATGGGTTTATGGGCGATAAGTGGTTCTTTTCGATCAATGAATCTCGCCAAGATAACAGGAAAGATTCACAGGTTCACAGTCAAGACAAGAGTCAGTGGTTTTGATGGTATATAGCATATGGGAAAGGGCTATAGGGTATCAATGACATGGGTACCTGAAGCCACATGTGGATACTAACTGGTACATCTTGGTGATACGACGTGCACTTGATAGCTGAAGTTTAATTCAGGCGAACGGCTTCGTCATTATTTGACATGTTGCCACAATCATCAAGAAATCTACTGACAGTGAGAATCTATTGAAGTGCATGCGGTAGTGAAGAGAAAATCAGGTGGCCCGTAGTGATATGTCATCAGTTTAAACAATGATCACTGTAAGTGAACATACTATGAATAGAAAGTTCAGATTGTGTGGAGGCAACGAATGTAGCAACGAACCTTCAGAAAAGAGCTCAGGCTATGAAACAAGTCAAATAATGCCAAATGATACTAATGCACCAACGTCTGCTGGAAATTCTATCTACGAAATAATGAAACAGGGTCCATATTCATCATTATTTTACACGAAATTTGTCGATACGTTTGATGGGAATTTATAGACCTAGGAATCACTAAAATGCCAATTATTTTAAAGCTAGGTTTTTGGAAAACGGGGCGTGATATCAAGAGGGAATAGAATGTAGTTAGGAACTCTGAAATTTCAATCATATGGGGCAACTTCACTCATGAGAGCTGATCGGCGATTTGAGCGCGTCAGTGGTCATCGAACTCTCGTACATAAATTCGGATTTTCGTTGTTCGAGTTCCAAGGATACATCACATGAGCCACAAAATACCTCAGCCGTTTGAGAATAAGGATAAGTGAATTGGAATGCTGAACAGCAAGAAAGATTTGCGAATCGTCCATATAATCGTACTCAGTCATATATATGTACACGCATGTTGCAATGTGTGGAGGAAAACGGTATGAATACTCCCCAAAGTTGAAAAAATCCAAACTGCAGAA